TACCGCTTCGGTGGGAAGGGAGCAGCGTTCCGTGCGCCGTGGTGTTTAGTCATGCCGGCCACATGACCACGGAAACGTCTTCGGACAGTGCTGGCTCTTCGGCTTTGAAACGGAGATGAGCACCGCAACCCTAGAGTCGGATTCGACTGGCTTTCGAGCAAGGGAACCTTTACCTTTACCTTTATAGATAGGGACTCTGGGGCAAGTGATGCTCTGTCGTCTTGGTGACAGTGGGAGGGCTTCTATTGTCCTGGCCCCACCGGTGGACCTCCTGATGGCACCTGGTATTTTTGGCCACTGTCCGACAGAGTGTTGGACTAGATGGGCCATTGGCCTGACCCAACATGGGCTTCCCTTATGTGCTCCCCAGGCTACACATTACAAATCTCCAGGAATTTCCCAACCTGGAACTGGCAACCCTAACTGGGGCAGATTTTTGCCCTATAGAGTACACATAAGGTTGTCAGATCCAGGTTGGGAAAGTCCTGGAGGTTTGGAGGTGGAGCCTGGGGAGAGCAGGGACCCCAGTGGGGTACAAGGCCATAGACTCCACCCTCCAAAGCCTCCACTTTCTCCAGGGGAACTGATCTTGGTGGCCTGGAGAGGAGCTGTTTTTCTAGGGGATCCGGGATGCCAGCCTCCAGGCGGGACCTGGGGATCCCCCGGAATTACAGCTCCTCTCCAGGCCACCAAGATCAGTTCCCCTGGAGAAAGTGGAGGCTTTGGAGGCTGGACTCTACCACACTGAGGTCCCTGCCCCTCCCAGGCTCCATCTGGCCATTGCACCACCCCCATCCTCCACCAGTGGCCGTGGGGGGGCTGCCAACTCTATCTCCAGGTCCCACCTGGAGGCTGGCATCCTTAAATACACAGGTAGGGTACGCAGTTCCCACCTTTTATCATGTGAAACAGTCTGATGGCGAGGGGTGGTTCTCCACAGTTTTTGCTTTTGTGGTGCCTGTGAGTTTCCCCAGGGGGCCAAATACCGACACACACACACCCCCCCGCCTGTTTCAAGTTGGGAAAATCACATGGGGGGGGGGGGGCTGAAGGCCTTTCTTCATGAATGCTTCAGCTGTGATCCAAATAGGTGTCTCAGGCCACAGGTGGCAACCCCATGAAGTATTCTGGCTGCCACACAGAGGCCTTAGAGAGTCTGGCTGATTTCGCACTAGAGCTGCCTGCGATGTCGCGCCGCCGTTTGCCCCGATACTATTGGTCAATTTCACACCCGAAGCTGCGTGGCTGCATTCTGACCCGCGGCTTCGCCCGATTTCCCCCGCAGTTTCGTGATCCTGTTTTTTGAGGATCACGAAACTGTGGAAAAAAAATAGTATCGGGGCAAACGGTGGCGCAACATCGAGGCAGCTCTAGTGCGAAATCAGCCTCTGTCTCTGTGGCCTGGTCTCCATGGAAAGAACTTCACGTGGCTTTTCCTTCACCGTCCTGCCCCCTTGCAGAGTCCGATGTGCAGAGGCTTTACATCAAAGATGCGCAGGGCAACTCAATGATGGACAAGAGTCAGCTGGAGAAGATCCTTCTGCTGAACTACGTGTGCAACGTGGAGGCGGGTAAGGAAAAGGATAAGAGGAGAGGAGAGATTGGATTTATACCCCGCCCTTCACTACCCAAGGGAGCCTCAGAGCAGCTTACAAACTCCTTTCCCTTCCCCCTCCCCAC